ACCTCTGAAGATTCTAGAGTGTCTGGCACCATTCAGAAGGACACTAGCTTGCTTTATTAGCTGTGTATTGTCATCTCCTCTCCCCTTCTCCCCCTCTCTCTACCCTCACCTCCTAGGAGTCCCTTGCACCATTAAGAAGGATACTGGTTTGCTCTATCAGCTGTTACTGTTAAGGGGGGCTTATGTCGGGCTTGCGAGCCGACTCGACTGGAAGCAACTGGATTTCGAGCAACTGGAAGCGAATCTTTTTGGTTGCAGCGACTAGTTGCGTCCAGTTGCCCACTGTTCAGAATCTATTTCGAGCAACTAGTGGCGGCCAGTCGCAGGCAGTCGCGGCGGGGTTTTATATCGTTTAGTTTCCCACAGATATCGACATGGACGTGCTGTTGCGGGGCACGACGGGGTTTTATATCGTTTAGTTTCCCACAGATATCGACATGGACGTGCTGTCGCGAGGCACGACGGGGTTTTATATCGTTTAGTTTCCCACAGATATCGACATGGACGTGCTGTCGCGAGGCACGACGGGGTTTACGGGAGCCGACCTCGAAAACATGGTCAACCAGGCGGCACTGCGAGCGGCCATCGATGGACTCGAGGCCGTGCCAATGGATTACCTCGAAAGCGCACGCGACAAGGTGCTCATGGGTAGGTAACTGCGGCAACGCACGTATGCAGACTAGGCGGTCATCTTTGCTCGAGAGCGCATGCGACAAGGTGCTCATGGGTAGGTAACCACGGCAATGCGCGTACGCAGACGAGGTGCTCATGGGTAGGTAACCGCGGCAACGCGCGTACGCAGATGAAACGGCCATCTTTGCTCGAGAACGCGCGCGACAAGGTGCTCATGGGTAGGTCACCGTGGAGCTGATTTCAGTCCTCCGTGTCCCTTGTTTGATTGGTTGTTTAATATGTGAGATCGACGAACACGGCTGTGTGAAACGCCAGTCTAGGCGACGCGAGTAGTAGACGATGGCTGCTGCCGTGCAACGTAAACCGAGAAGCGAAGAAATTTTTATGGAATTTTTTTTCGCGACGCGGGACGTTTCCCGTTCGAGGAAAATCCGCAGCGCGTATGGATAGCTTTAGTCGGGCACATCGCACGAGCGAGCGTGAGGCCCAGAGGTTGCAGAGGTAGCGTCGGCGCCCGTCCAGGGGTAGAAATAAGGAGAGAGAAAAGAGTTCGTCCGCAGGACCATCTAGTTTGAAATTTAGATGGTCCTCCAAAATTTCAAATTGTTCTCTAAAAGTAATGCGGCGTGCAAGCGTAAGAAAGAGATTTTACATGGTGATAAAAAGGTTAAATTATTCACCTACAATGAATGTATCAAACGATACAGTAATTGTTTATTCACTTTAATAATATATTAGAACGTGGAAACTTCAAAGAAAATTACCGTAAAATGGGACCAAAATATTCAATGGTCCGTCGGACCGTTGACTTTGAAAATCTGATGGTCCTCCTGATTATTTGATGGCCCCGGACCATCGGACCATCGCTTATTTCGACCCCTGCCGTCTAAACTCCGTCTTCTCTTCTCCTCCTCCTCCTTCTCCTCCTTCGCGCGCACGCAGGACCGGAGAGGAAGAGTCGGATCCCGGACGACGACGCGAACAAGATCACGGCGTACCACGAGAGCGGGCACGCCATCGTCTCGTACTACACCAAGGACAGCATGCCGCTGCACAAGGTCACCATCATCCCGCGCGGCGCCTCCCTCGGACACGTGAGTGCTCTCCTTCCTTCTCTCTTTGCCTGCAGCCACGACTCTTCTCTCCTCTCCCACGCTGCCACAAGGTCAGCATCATCCCGCGCGGCGCCTCTCGACACGTGAGTGTCTTTGCTCCTCCTCCTTCTCTCCCTCAGCCACGACTCCTTCCTCTCCTCTCCCGCCGCTGCACAAGGTCACCATCATCCCGCGCGGCGCCTCCCTCGGACACGTGAGTGCTCTTCTCCTCCTCCTCTCTCTCCCTCAGCCACGACTCCTTCCTCTCCCTCTCCACCGTGCACAAGGGTCCCATCAATCCCGCGCGGCGCTCCCTCGGCACGTGTGGGCTCTCTCCTCCTCCTCTCTCTCCCTCTGCACGGACTCCTTCTCTCCTCTCGGCGCTGCACAAAGGCCACATCATCCCGCTGCCGGGCGCCTCCCTCGGAACACGTGTGTGCTTCTCTCCGCTCCTCTCTCTCCTCAGCCACGACTCGTTCCTCTCCTTCCCGCCGCTGCACAAGCGGTCCATCATCTTCGGCGCGGACCCTCCCGGCGACACGTGAAGTGTCTTCTCGCTCCTGCCTCCTCTCCTCTCCCTCAGCCACGCTCCTTCCTCTCCTCTCCCTGCCCGCTGCCACAGGTCACCATCATCCCGGCGGTGGCGTCCTCGGACACGTGAGTGGCTCTCCTCCTCCTCCTCTCTCTCTGCCCTCAGCCAGCACTCTCCTTCCTTTCCTCTCCCGCCGCCTGACCAAGGTCACCATCTCCGCGCGGCGCCTCCCTCGAAACGTGAGTGCTCTTCCTTCTCCTCTTCTCTCCTTCAGCCCTAGCGACTCCTGTTCCTCTCCGCTCGCACTGCCACAAGGTCACCATCATACCGCGCGCCGCTCCCTCGTGAACTGATGAGTGACTCTTCTCCTTCTCCTCCTCTCTCTCCCTCAGCACGACTCCTTCCTCTCCTCTCCTCAGCACTGACTCCTTCCTCTCCTCTCGCCCGCTGCCCACAAGGGTTCACCTCATCCCGCCGCCGCCTCCCCGCGACACGTGAGTGCTCTCCTCCTCTCTCTCGCCCTCGCACGACTTCCTTCCTCCCTCTCCTCAGCACGACTCCTTCTCTCCTCCGCCCGCCTGCACAAGGTCACCATCGATCCCGGCGGCGCCCTCCTCTCGGACACGTGAGTGTACTTCTCCTCTTCTCTCTCTCCTCAGCCACGACTCCTTCTCTCTACTCCGCCACTGCACAAGGTCACCATCATCCGCCGGTGCCTCCTCGGACACGTGAGTGCTCTTCTCTCCTCGCTCTCTTCAGCCCACGGACTCTTCCTCTCCTCTCCCGCCGCTTCACAGTTCACATCCCGCGCGGGCCTCCCTCCGGACACGTGTAGTGCTTCTCCTGGCCTCCTCTCTCCGCCACTCAGCCACGTCCATTACCTCTCCTCTTCGCCGTGCACAAGGCACCATCATACCCG